TGCTTAGCAGTTGTCCGTGAGCGAGTGAAATGTTTACACAACAGTGTACATGCAATTTCCCAAAACAACCAGCAATGGCCATTGGACGTTTAGACACTACAGCAGGATACATGCTTGTGACTGATGTGTATATTGTACTTTGTGTAAAAATAACACCCAAAAGCACTGAACAGTTAAAAAGCATTTGAAAAATTACAGTTCATAATAAGAACAGAATACTGGGGTCAGCCAACCAGAAAGCAGGGTTTAATGTATGGCAAAGAAATCCCAACATCTTCCGAATGCCCAGTAGCTGAGACAGCCATGTTTTAGGTCCTTTGATCCACAACACATGAAACATGCACCTCATACTGGCACACAAAAAGACCTTAAAGAGTAGAGGGGGAGTGCCTGAATATAAGCATGAACCCATGACAATTCTGGGGGGGGGGGCACTTAAAGCAGAGAAATGCATATTGGAATGGAATACGGTTGTAAAGAGATGGGAGCTGAACTGGTTTGCGGCACGAACAGTTTATTACTCGGACCATTTGGCGGCTAGTTAAATTCAGGAAAGTTGGAAAGGATGGGGGTTGGGGGGGGGGTCAGGGTTTTGGGTGAGTAGGTTAGGATCGTAGATTCAGCAGCATAGCCCAGATGAAGTGGATAATTGAGTGGCGAACAAACACTGCCAAGTGAGCTTGAAAACCTTCTTTTCAATGGAGCACCTCTGAAAGAAAAAACAGAGAGCCAGGGGTGGGGAGTGTCAGTGAATAAGAGAGAAAATCCTGCTTCCCCTCTGGGGAAAAGACTGCTATTGAAAAGCTATTAAACTCACATTTTGCCGGATTGATTGGAAATAAATAGGCCTATTAAAACGCAGGGACAGCGGGACAATGGTGTGTCTCCAGCCACCGTATGCTGCCCTCCTTTCACAGCTTTCTTCTTTGGGAGGCCTCCTACTCTTGCTGTTTAAGTTCTCCAGGCCCAGCAAATAATTTGGGGGGGGTAGGCGAGGGTCACTGAATAGACCCCTCTTCGTCTTTCTTTAGTCCTCATTCTTACATTTAACCACAAAGAAAGTAAGAGGGGGAAAATGAGGAAAAGCCTTTTTTCTGTGAAAAGGAGTTACTGCCTCATTCAGCTCCTGTCCCCTCCCTTTCATGCTCTCCTTTTTCCTTATTTTCTTGGACAGATTTGTCACCTGTTTATCAGACACTATACATATGTTGTTTAAGTTATGGTCAAGTTGTGGGACTTTCACCAGCAAGCCTACAGTAGAGATTTCCTGAGAAATAATGGCAAAGTATTGCCAAAGGCAATTTTTCAGGACATTAATGGATGGATCCCCCAGTGTGGCAAATGGTGTTTTGATTGTTTAACATCCATCCTGGCAAAGGCAAAAGGCACGATTTCAGCAGAGTGGGTATACCATATGGTCACAAGGAAGATTTTAATTATAAATTATAATTTGTTTAGGGTTTAGCTTTTAGGTTTGCTGTAACACATTCCTAATTATACCACATATTTCATTATACTCTATAGAAATATACATCCCTCATTTCAAATGAACTCAGTGTTTTGCTTGCAACTGGGATAACTGCATTTGTCATGAATACTAATATCTATTTCAAAGAGATAAAGGGCTAGCCACTGACAACATAAAATGTTTGTGAAAGCTCTCATAAGAAGTTACTTTGCTCAGCTTAATTTAGCTGGTTAATTCCTAATGCCAGAAACCTGTGGATGTGGTCTGGATATCAGAGTAGATCATTTTTCCTGGAATGCAGGTTTTCTCTGTGGCAAGGTTGTGATCTTGTGCTGTTCGTAAAATGAAATATCAGACAATATTCACTTGTGTCGCAGAACTTCCCCACAACCCTGTACTGGATAAGTGGTTCAATTATGGAAATTATGGATGGATGGATTGATTGTTAATATTACAATGTCTGTTGGGATATTAGAGTTAAATTTGTGTTGAATATTTTCTCAGTCATTCACTGTAGTGTTCATGTAAGTCAATCCAATTTACAGCCCACTTTCTTGTATTTAAATGGTCCCCCTTGAATATTTTTGGCTTGGGGGTTGACAGTTCTTTTTGTGAATGAGAAGTTCACTAATGCATTTCATCAATTTATGACATGTTTCTGATGATCCCCTTAGACTACTCTGTGGATCCCTGGGGGCGATTTTCCACCAACATTGTTGCTTCAACTAGCTAACTTCTAATTTGAAATAGATGGCTTCCACGTTGCTCACATTGTAAATGAAAGTTAACTATTGAGAGACGCAACCTACAGCTTTTGTCACTGAAGAAATTAATGCTGTTTTACAGTTGGGCTAAACAGATCCTCTGGCTTTAAATGTAAGTTAGTGATTACGAGAAAATGTTAGCCAGCCACTACGCGGAAATGAGAATCTTCAACAGGGAGTCATAGTATAGAATACAGTCAAATGAAAATTATTGTTATGTGTATTTGTCATAGAGAAGATTGTATCCCAGCTCTGCTGTTAGGCTCATCTGTATTGTTGTCTCTTTCTGAATTCACATTTCTGGATTTACATTGACAAGGAATAGCAAGTAGTCATTACATGTGGAAATGTGTTTCATTTGAGGGTAGCCTTACCTCTGGGGTGGAGGTTTGCTCTGTACCCATGGCTCGGTGTGTGGAGCTTTGCATGTTCTCCCTGTGTGTGCATGGGTCTTCTCTGGGGACTCCGGTTTCCCCCTGCAGTCCAAAAGCCACTTGGTTGAGTGAGCGGGTGTCTCTAAATTGCCCGTAGCATGTGAGAGTGTGCCAAACAATGGACCATCCAGCCCATCCAGCGTGCCTTCCCCTTGTGCCCAATGTTTTCCAAAACAGGCTTCAGGCTCACCACAACCCTGTACTGGACAAGGAACAGGGGTTGCTGTTTCATTTGAAGACTCTCATCCTGGTCACAAACTGCTTTGGACTCTCCCCTCTGGCAAAAGGTTGCGGTCCATTGGGACTAAAACATCACGTCATAGGAACAGTTTCTTCCCCACCGCAGCCTGCCTCATAAATAAGGCCAGGAACACTCACTCAAATTCTATTTCTCCACAAGCATGCACTGTCCTAAATATGTATATATTTCCACTGCTGTATCATATTCCACATACACTAACTATTTATATTTAAATTAGTACCTGAACATACTCCATGTATACACTCACCTAAAGGATTATTAGGAACACCATACTAATACAGTGTTTGACCCCCTTTCGCCTTCAGAACTGCCTTAATTCTACGTGGCATTGATTCAAAAAGGTGCTGAAAGCAATCTTTAGAAATGTTGGCCCATATTGATAGGATAACATCTTGCAGTTGATGGAGATTTGTGGGATGCACATCCAGGGCACGAAGCTCCCGTTCCACCACATCCCAAAGATGCTCTATTGGGTTGAGATCTG